GCCTCCACTCAACAATGTTGGCCAGGGCAACTTAACTAGCGACCTTATAGAGTATAATAATTTGGTTAACATAAATCCCTCAAAATATGAAGTCCATTTGGAATTCTACATCCTCATGTGTGCTTGATTGACTAAAAATTAAAACATAGTCACATGGATTACATTTTGACAAATACGTTTACAAACCTTAGGTTCAATTTGGACATGAGAGAGTCCAATACAATTTGTTGTCACTAAAAATGGTATTGATTCCATGCGTGGAAACCACATGCATGTGAGAGTAAAATTAACCACTTATAGTCTTGTACTGAATTGTGCATAGGTGCTTTCAATAGTGCAAATTGAGTATAGGAAAAGAGTCTTTAATTTTTGACTAATTTGGGAAGTGGAGATAAAAAAAGGTTGCCTTCGAGAGGAAGCTGCGGGTGTAAAGACAAGAAGATGAAGAGGTTTTATTTTGTTTTCGTTTTAGTGCAATGTGAATGGGCTTGTACAAGATGAAAATGTTGGTGCTTTATTTGTCCTCAACTGTGGAAAAGAAATTAGAAAAGCACCAAAGTGAACTCAACAGTTGCGATACTGCATTAATTTGCCTTTTGCATTAAAAAAGTGCATTGCTGAATGAAACCCCTTTGAGTGCAAACCACGTAAGCTTCAATGAGTTTTCTGCTCTGCTTTTATCAATGATAAAAAGGGGAAACGGTGGTTTGCTATAATTTTCTCCCTCTCAGTCTTTTCTTTTTCTTAATGATTAGAGTGTCTCTCTATCATATTATTTGAATTTTAAGATTTTTTTTTTTATAATAGCATCAATTTAGTGCATTTAATTTTCAGACAATAACATCAATCTAGATAAAACTTATATATAAAATAATATTTTTTTAATTAAACTAAAATAATACTTATCAATAAAACTATTCTGCATCAAATTAGTGTCATGTGTGGCCCAATTATAAAAAGAAAAACTATCCTCAGCACTCCTAATGAAAAGGACAGCGGCTGCGTTTTCTTCCCAGCTACTCACAAGCTAACAGGCGTTGGCTGTCTTCAAAATATTAAAGAGTTGTTTAAATTAGCTTTTTTTTTGATATAGTTCATTGTTGATAATTGATATCTGACTATTGATAATTATTATTATTTGTAATTTAAAATATGTAAATTATTTGATTAAAACTAATAATTGATAACTATTTTTAAAAGATCAAAACGAAAACTCACTAAAACAATCAACTCGATGAGTATTTTATCAAATAAAAAAAAAAAAGAGGGAAAAGAATTGACCTTGTTAATAGATTAATTTTATCTGCACTTTGCCAATTGAGTGGCCCTTCAATTTTTTTTTTTTTTTCTTTTTTAGATACACACATACAGAATCTACTAGGTGATGATATAAATGCTGATTACATGGTAAATTCATCTTGTATCGACCCAGTAAAGTAGCTAATAGCCTAATAGCCCAAATATAGCGGGCCAGCCCCGGAAGGTTAACTACAGAGAATTAGGGCCCAAATGTCGACCCAGCAGGTGTGTGGCTTATGGACCAGATAAAAAGATTCGATTTATTTTACTGCCCAATTTATTGGGCTTCGGTCCGGTTACTCAAAAGAAAAGCTAATGAAAAATCAAATAAAGGCTGATGCCTGATGGATAGTTGGGCCCTGGGGGTTTTGATGATCATGAAGGTATTCGTTAGGCTTTGTTTGTGAGTGTTGCAAATGACACTTTTTTTTTAAAATATTATTTAAAAATATAAATTTATTATGATAATTAATTCTAATTAATCTGGTATATATTTTAGTAATTTTAATTAATAATTTTATACATTTTTGGGAGAAGAAAATATTAAAAAAAAAACTATGATAATACAATATAACACTATCAAACAAAGCCTAAAACTGCTTAATAACATATGGTTAAATCTCTACTTTGATCCCTCTATTTTGATAAAAAGTCTCTTTTTAGTCCTACTTGAAAAAATTATTTTTTGATCCCTAAAATTTGAAATTTAACCTATAGTTAATCCCTTTGTTGAGTTTTGCACACATGAAACATTAGATGATTGGAATTTCAAATTAAATGAATCAAAAAAGGTTAAAAAGGAGCTATTTTTGGTCCTTTTTTTTCTTTATTTTGAAATTTTTATCATCTAATATCAGACTTAACAAATAAACTAAAAAAGAGTTGGATATAAAATTTTAAAAACCAATTTTTTTTTTTTTAAATAGAAGTGGAGAGACTAAATTAGGGTTTTAACTATAACTATCAAACCACATAAATCCTTTTTTGCACCTTAGATTGCAAAAAATACAATCATTAATATAAAAGAATTAATTTTATACAATCTAATACAGTAATACAGTGTATTTCAATCAAATTACTATATTGGATGAGGACAAAATTAATTTAGTATCTTAACTGCACAAGACTTTCACCTTAAGATGGCCCAATCAACTTGTCGTTGCATGGCTGAGTTTGTAACTTTCTTTTTGGTACATATATTTAATAATTAATTTTAATTTCATTACCCATAACCAGCATTATTGATCCTCTTCTACTTTTTTTTTTTTTTTAATTTACATTGTGAAATGATTGGCACTCTCAGACACACTTTCTCTCATCATGTCTATCCCATCAAATGGATGCTATCATC